ATTATGTGACTTACCAGTAATGTGGATTTGGTCATAGAGTGCAAGCCATATATATGTATCTGTGAAACAAAACCAAAGATAAGTATTGTCTAATTCCAGTTTTTTTGCTGCTAATTTTTATGAAATAGTGGATATTACTGTAGCAGAAGATTGGGAACAAAAGCAAATACCTCTACTTGTTTGGTTCATGCCTGACTCTGAGGAAATTCTTAGCTAGTTTACAAAAAAAATGGTTGATGACCAAAATATTTTGAATCGTCAGAGCGGAATAAGCTTCAATGCCTTCAATGAGCTACCACACTTCAATCAAACAAACCATCAAACTGGCCATGAAAATTCCAACATACAAAGTGCTCAGAAATTTCAAACCCCCCATCCTAAATTAAATACAAGTGTTGMACATGAAGTAAGTAAACTYATTCCCAATATCTCAATAAATGTTCAAAGAAATGGGTACATAAGATTCTGGCTATAACACCAATAATATTTCACAGTCATTTATAGCCCTTTCAAATTCCAAAGCATTCTATCTTCATTCAATAATCTCACATGATCCAACCGGGTAATAGCTGCCATCATAGAACAAGGAGGGAGACCAATCATTTTTTTCAAAACAGCAAAGCAGCAAATCGTCTAGCTTCAAGTCATCCTAATACCAAATAAAAAGATGTTTGATTTGGCCTTTTTATTTGAGAATCCACAAGTTCCTGACAGTCTTCACCATCGTATATTACCTTCAGGGGCCTAGTGATCATACGTAAGAAAAGTTATAGYTCAATACGGTTATAGTCAGTATGGAGGAATAATTGGCAATAAAGTGTGTAGTACATAAATGACAATGAAGAGACTTTACAACAGGTAAGAAAATTGAAGAGTCAAAATTTATATGTCTGAGCTCTAATATGTGTTTCATAACTTGCAAAATTTTGTTAGTTTTTCTATGTTAGCTTAAATAGATTTAGAACATTTATGTAAAGTAAGCTTAGTAATTGATATTCATTCACATACAGTGTTATGTCTATATAATGTAGAACTTGAATTGTTGTCGAGAAACATGGATCCGGATAAGTCACAACAACGACAAAGTTCACGGCAGATAAATCTCCCATTCTCGCTAACTGAAAGAAACCTCGGACTTTTAAACCCAGATTTTCACAAATAAAAGGAACTGTAGGCAATGGGATGTAAACAGCTTGAGAAACGATTACAAGAGGTTACTATTATTCTATACTTTTGGATTTACATTCGATTGTGTATTACTCACCTCTATTTTATTGATTGCACGTGCACATCACGTTGAATAACAAAGTACTCAATCCTGCATATGTTACGTATCGATCCGTTTTTAAATCTTTGCTTTTCAAGAACATATCATCTCCCGCAAGACAATCTCCAAATATTTAACTGCGGCTTTTGTTCCGTACTACAATGAGCTAAATGATCTTCAATGAGCTAGTAAGAGAACTAAGGAGCGAAAACGAGCTACAATATAAAAATAGTTTCATCGAGTCTTGCATGGTTTTCCATCGCCATTTTGTACCGTATTTACTAAAAGGCGCAATGAGCTACCAAATGATATTCAATGATCTACGATGAGCTAGAAAGAGAACTAAAGAGCGAAAACGAGCTACTATAAACT